CGCATCTCTGCCCCTCCGACCAGTCTCCACGTGGCCTCCTCTTTATACCCCCAGGTAAAGGAGTTCTGTTCAGCTAGACTTCAGATCATTCTCCAGGTTGACTGTTTCCTAATTTTGTTTTAACTGCAATTTTAATGCAGTCATGGGAGGAGGCATGCACAGAATTCACCTACCCCTCCATCTTGACCTGAGCTTTCTGTGATGCTATTCTTAAACAAAATTGCTTCACTGAGAAATGGGCGACAAAGAGCTACGGATGAAAACATTTCATACGAGCACTATTTCAACCGCTAATTTATAATATTCAGGTAAAAAAGATTTTCTGGAATTAAGCCACAACAACTCTGGCTTAAGTCAGACCTGTCGACTGGGAAACAACATTCCAGATATTTTAAATTTCAATTCATTTGATTTTTCTTATAACAAGATTAGAAAATATGATTAAGCTGTGCAGGATATTTTTTATTAGATAAGTCTGACTTTAAATGAAGCAAATAGATATTAAAATGTTAAAGGAGAAGAAAGAAAGAGGCTTTAGAGATGTTTCCCTCATGGCACTTGTGAACAAAAATGTACAAAAAAAACACACACTAGAAATGTTTTAAAAATAAAAGGAAAGATGGCATTTTACATTGTTGTCCATAAAGTTGTTCATGTGGCTGCATTTTTACCTTAAACTCTACTTTGAGTAAAAACCTGTGTATAGAAATTTAGTGAAAGAAAGAAAGAAAAGTAATTTTAAAACTAAAGACTAGGGATGACTACAAAATGATAATGGTAATTTACATGGATTTTTTTTTTTCCCCACATAGGAAAGCCTGTGAGTGTACAGAGATATTACGAGATCCAGACACTCCTGTAGGGATTTCTTTTACAGCTATTGAGCATAAAAGAATTTTTAGATAATAAGAAATGATGCACAGCATCAACTTCAGATGCTCTATAGCATTCTTAATTATGAAACAGTGAAAAGCAGTTTTCACATAATGATTTTTTTAAGTAGAGAAAAATCTAAACAAATTTTGCAAAACTCTTCCTTTTATTACATTAATAGTAGGGAACAGAATTAACAAAAACACCATCTAATTTACTCGAGATTGTAAAAGAAATTTATTTTATTAATCATAAATATGAATATTCAGTTAATATTAAGTGAATATTTGGTTAATATCATGATTAAATAAAGTTCTCAGTGGCAGATTGCCTTTCTAACTCCACAGTCTTTTTGAATACTTTTATTTAATTAGATATTTTGAAAATTATTTTGTAAATTATAAAGTCGAATCAAATTCAGTTATTATCCATCCCTTCCTATTTTGATACTTTGGGGGGTTTAACAAATTTTGAGTAAAAAAATACATTTAAAAATCTAAAAATTTAGTAGTTATCAAAGCACGGTGCTCTGTAAATGCTTTCCAACTGGTTCTTTGCAACCATTGGTCAAGTGATTTAGTTGGAAATGTTCAAAGCTGATGTGGGTTGGGGTGTGTTTTGGAATGAGGAAAAATAATTCTGCACAGTACAAGGCCTTATAAAAATGATGGGCATAACCTTTTAAAAGGAAGAAAAATGCAATCCCCAGAGGTGGACAGTCTGATCATTTAGTTTTTGAATCATTTGAGATTATGTATGTGGCAGTGCATTGGAAATGATGATGTTCGATAGCAGTACTACAACTACTTTCTACATGAGTGTGCATGTTATTATTCTCGCTTCAAACCTTTTTGAAACGTTTATATTGGGATTAGTTTCAACATAAGGGAAATGTAGTAATAGAAAGATGGTAAATTTCTTCTAAATGCTTTTAAAATTAGAATAGTTCTTGAGAAAAATTATATGAAGCAAGATCTACATGACCAGCATAACATTTTCTTTAAAAAGCACTGGAAGAATTGATGCTTTGTAACAAAGGAGAATTATACATTTGTAAGTGTCATGGACCTAAGTCTTTGTTGCTTTCTCAATCTATTCTTGTATATAAAGTTCTTATTTTTTGAATGGACTCAAGTGGCCCTGGCTCTAAGAGTAATCAATCTCTTATATCATTATTGCTAATTAAAAATTAAAACATTTCACGTTAAACTCGGTACCTTTTTATTTTATTAAAAAGAGGACATTTCTCTTTATCTTTTATATGTTGAAATCACTCACTGCAATCTTATATAAATCAGATATAGTGACATTTAAATAAATACTTCTAGTCCTAGTCACCCTGAGGGAGTACTGCATGACGTCAGTGAGAGAGCTTTGTGATTGCTCAACCCTAAGTACAAGCCCTATAAAACGATAGGCTTTGAAATGCTGGTCAGAGTAGACTGAAAAGCAGCTGCTGGAAATAATAGCCAACCCTTAGACAGGACCAAGTTCTGGTTCAGTTCTAAGGGCAGAGAACCGGTGGAGCCAAAGACAAGTTTCTCAAGTCACCTGGTAAGTATAGGGATGCCTCAACACCTCACATCTCAATGATTTTTCTAAATTATTTTTCTTGAAAGATGCTTTCGCTGTTTGCTCTTTTACTCAATTCTGTTTTTTTTTTTAATAATGCATTATTTTGTTTTGTTTTGCTTTGCTTTTATATAAAATTTTGACTGAAGGGTTCAGTTAGGTACTGTGATTTTGAAGTTTTCAACTAATTTTCTAATTGCTATTCTTTCATTTGTTGGTTATGTGAATATAAGAAGCATTGATTTTCCTCTTTAAGTTTGAATGCCATAATTTTTATGCACAACTTCTAAGTTTCTATTTAGAAACTATTTAAGAATATATTGTGTCTGTGGATTAGATCAGAGATGCCCAATCTTTTGGCACCAGTGACGGGTCCTCCTATGAGATTCTAATGACCAATGATCTGAGGTGGAGCTGAGGTGGTGATGCTAGCTCTGAGGAGTAGCTGCAAATACAGATAAAGCTTCCCTCACCTCCTGCTGTGCAGCCCGGTTCCTAACAGACCACTGAGTGGTACTTGTCCATGGACCTGGAGTTAGGGACTGCTGGATTTGATTTAAAAATACAAGCTTTGTTTTTAATAATTTTTCTTTTTATGGCAAAAATTATTTCAAATGTTTCAATGAAATTTTTTGGTATTAATTCTCACTATTAATAGAGTTAAGTTATTGAATCCCAGGCATAAGAAAATGAGTTCTCAATAAAATCTACAATTAAAAGCAGAAAAAGAAATGTTTATCTAACAATTTTTATGCTAATAGATATAGAAATATAAATGCATATATATATATACATATTAAGTTCATGATACCCTAGTTTTATATTAATCAGATGCAAAAACTTAAAGTAGAAGAAACTATCAGGTTTTTGAAACTCAGAAAAGATACTAAACTTGGATGCCACAACTCTAATAAGGACATGGCCCCTAAGTTGTTTCTAGCAATGTAAGACTATGGCATTCAATATATAACTGGGCCAACATGTGCCGGATGACGGATAGGCAGCAGTTGAAAGGGATCTTTATTATTCAAGCACAAATTGATCAAATAGAAACTATACTGCATTTTCAAGCTTTCTATAAGACAAAAATGTTTTTCTGAACTCTGCAAGAACCTTCAGAAACCTCTGCTAGTTACCCAGAATTCCTGGGTATCTACCTACCAAAAAAATGGAAAACACTTATTCACAAACATACCTGTACTCCTATGTTCATTGCAGCATTATTAACAGCAACCAAAACATGGAAACAATCTAAGTGTCCTTCCACAGTTGACTGAATAAAAAAAGTAGTGGTACATGTGCACAGTGGAATATTACTCAGACGTAAAAAATAATGAAATATTGCCATTTTCAACAACGTGGATGGATCTTGAGCGTATCATGCAATAATAAATGAAATTAGTCAGACAGAAAGGACCAGAACCATATGATTTCACTCATCTGTGGGACATAAAACAGAAAGCAACAAATGAACAAAACAAACGAAGTCATAGACACAGACAACAGTATAGAGGTTACCAGAGGGGAGAGGAGTGGGGAGCAGATAAAGAGCGTAAAGAGGGTCAAACATATGGACGGAATGAGAGTAGACTTTGGGTGGTGAGCACACAGTACAACGTACAGATGATGTGTCCTAGAACTGTACACCTGAAACGTATGTAATGCTATTAACAAATGTTACCTCAATGAATTAAAAACAAACCAAAAAATGGATTCCCTGGCTGGTGACATCTGTGGTTGGAAAATCTAGAGTGACTTCCTCCCTTTCAAGGTGCAGAGATGGAAACCAGAGGGAAGCCCCAGCTCCTCATGAGCCTGATAGTTCTCAGTATGCTCTTCTCACAAATGCTGGCCTGGCCTCTTTTTGAAGCACGTTTTTTGAGGTAAGTTCTTTTCGAGTCAGAGAGTCAAACATTCCATCTTCATCTCGATGAGAATTTTCTTTCCGTCATTCAGACGACTCGATTTTTTAAAATTATGCATTATTGATTTGAACCTTTGGTCGATATGTTAAGACAAATTTTTCAATGTCGAATCAACATGATTATTCCATACTAAAATTGTGCTAGTACACAGGATTATAACCAGAAGGCCCTACAAAATTCATTGAATTTAAGTGACTATTCAGAAATGGAGAGATTCTTTGGACATGATCAATGCAGACATATACATTACACTTTGAATAAATTGTGATATATAATATGTAATAATTTGAATAAATGAAACTTTGAATAAATTTTAGGAACTTAGAGAAGGAAAAACAGTTAACTCTCAGCTCTTGAGAAATGTTTGAGCCAAATAAACATCAACGAATATACAAATTGTCCCAGTTTTTATGTTAAATATTACGTTGTTTTCAAAGTTTCTATTTTGTAGAAAATCTTTCTTCTTGTGAAATTTAACTTTGCAAAGTGAAGGCATTCCAAAGGAAGTGTACTTTGCTTAATGCTATGACAGGATTGAACTGAGTAGTTCATATGCTTGACATATACAACTTGTAAAAGTTACATGCATGTATCTTGTGGGATGAACAAAAATTTTACTATTGATACTCTCAAACCACATAAGTCATGATGCTATCCATATTTTCTGAATGGGCGGTATTTTCCAAGATTTTGAGTGTCTTATTTCAAATGACTGTAAACTCATAAGCATTGTCTTCTGAGAAAAGAATGTATTATACATCTATTGTCTTTTTTCTAATATGTTGGATATCAGAGTACCATTGGAAGAAGAGAGTGAAGTTGATCGAACTTCATTCAAAGCAGACACTGACATCTCACGAAATGTATTTCCTGAAAATGGCAGGTGAGTTCGGTTTTATTGAGTTTTATAGTGAAACCTGTATTTTTTTTTTTGAAATATACATGTTTTATTCTTGTATCTCCGTAAAGCTACTCCCACAGCACTGCACTGCAGGTTTCCATGGGCCGTGGCTTCATCCAGCCTGACGTACTGCAGCTCTTGCAGCTGCACATGATTCTCATGTACTGAGGCTGTGATAGGCGAGGATGAACAAACCATTCACTTACATTCTGCTGTATAAAAGGTCAATATCAGAAATTGTACCAATACTAGTAAAACTTCAGCACTTAGGATTCCATAATAAAAGATGTTCAAAAGCAAAAGTTTCATGTCTATGTAATAAAAGGATGTCTAATAATAAAAGCCACCTATTCAAAGAGTCATTTTTCGAGAGAAGCATTCAAGTATAGACAGAGTGACTCGATATTGAAGACAAAGAATAAAAGCGTCCTCATTTGGACAGAAAAGTTGGCTGATAGGACCTAAGAACCTCTCCCTTTCAAGATATTTTGACTCCCAATATTTTTTGAAGAAGAAATAGTAAAAGATATAATAGCGTTTTTGCTAAAATCAGAGAGAGAGTTCGGTTTTATTGAGTTTTCTAGTGAAACCTGTATTTTTTTTTTTGAAATATACATGTTTTATTCTTGTATCTCCGTAAAGCTACTCCCACAGCACTGCACTGCAGGTTTCCATGGGCCGTGGCTTCATCCAGCCTGACGTACTGCAGCTCTTGCAGCTGCACATGATTCTCATGTACTGAGGCTGTGATAGGCGAGGATGAACAAACCATTCACTTACATTCTGCTGTATAAAAGGTCAATATCAGAAATTGTACCAATACTAGTAAAACTTCAGCACTTAGGATTCCATAATAAAAGATGTTCAAAAGCAAAAGTTTCATGTCTATGTAATAAAAGGATGTCTAATAATAAAAGCCACCTATTCAAAGAGTCATTTTTCGAGAGAAGCATTCAAGTATAGACAGAGTGACTCGATATTGAAGACAAAGTATAAAAGCGTCCTCATTTGGACAGAAAAGTTGGCTGATAGGACCTAAGAACCTCTCCCTTTCAAGATATTTTGACTCCCAATATTTTTTGAAGAGGAAATAGTAAAAGATATAATAGCGTTTTTGCTAAAATCAGAGATTTTTTTGTATATGTCTTTATTCATGATAGACGTAAAGAGCAGCATAAATAAAATAATTAAATAGTTAAATATATAGAAATTAATTTAAATATAGTACATTTTTCAGAGCAATGTGTCTCAGAGAAGAATTAGATTTCTAGATTCTATCAGAGAGCTTTATTTAATCTTGAGAAGTACCTCTAAAAAGCTAATAAATTTGGGGCTGAAAATATAGAAAATATCTTGATAATATGTCAGCAAAAATATTTTTTAATAGATCATTAGGAAATCTTCTTTTGGACTTAAGTGTATAAAGAGTTTTCATATCAATCTGGTGTTTTTAAAATTATTTATGGAGTCCAAATAATACTTTAAGAAAACATTTCAAAGTAATGGTTATCCTTTCTTCTTTGTCTTAGGAGTGCCAGACATGCCAATGAAATTGTCACAAGTGACTTGAGTACAGTCTTGGATCAGCTTTCTGACAAACTTGAGGTCTTTACTGAAAAACGAGATCTGTAAGGAAAAGTTATTATTTTTAACAAACATGTTATGATTATTTAATCTGCAACTTATATTTTTGCTGTTAAGAATTTATTTACTTTGTCCCAAACTGTAACTCAACAATGTTCAATTTTGTTAAAAGAAAATTTTATATTTTTCAATAAATTATACCAGGCCTATGGGTTAGAAAATAGGGCTTTTTAGTAATATACTCACTGGCTCCAGACACACTTATTTTTCTTTAGTAGCAATCATTTGTAAATCTGCAACCAAACTGGGGCCTGGGAGAATGAGGTGAAGGGTTAAAGAAGTACAAATTAGTAGCCGATGGATGGTCATGGGGATGGGGAGCATGGCAGAGGGAATGCAGTTAGCATTAATATGATGGCTAAGTGGAGGGCCAGGGGAGAGACGGAGCAATTGGGAGGATCTTTTTATAAACTGTATAGATGTCTAACCAATGTACTGTATACTTGAAACTAATTTAATAAATAAATCAATTTATTTTAAAAAATGAAACTAATATGGTAAAAAGAAGACACAGTATAAACTGGAGAAATTGTAAGGTTAATCAAAGTACTTGTTTTTTAAATTCCTGCTCAAACTGAGCATTAGATGATGCTTTCTTCATATGACCAATAGCTGAATATTTAGATGGCACAATGCAGGTGGCATAGCTTTTAAGAAGTAAAGAGCGTCTCCTCCCAATAGCAGAACACAACTCAAATATCTCTCCATTTTTTTAAAAAATATATTATCTGCTCAGTTAATATACTGTGTGTTAAGTCACTCCCAGAAAATGCCACAATGTGTTGGATTATTCCTCTCTCACCTATCCTTTGTTTTAGGTGAATTTTTCCATTAGTATATTTGTGATAGAAAACGAGTTGGGTGTTGGAATTCATTTTTATCAGACTCCGAGAAATTTAGAACTTTGACATATTTATCATTTCTTGTTAAAACTCTTTGATTTTCTTTCCCCTACATTTCTCAGCGATAACATCGCAGAAAACTGGGGACAAAGGAAACGCCAAGCGGATGCGATCTTCACTGACTTGTATAGCAAAGAACGAACACAATTGGACTCGGACAAGT